GGACTCTGCAGACCCCTCCGATGAGTTGGTGAAACTCTGACCATGACCAAAAAGTCTGTCACAGCCCATCGTTTGTTGTCCCCTTCTCCCTCTCTGCCTAATTTGTCAATTTCTCAGCAGCTAAAAAAGCCCACTTCTTAAGACACAGCAAAATAGCAAAAGACAACACGAAGCACGCCAAAACCATTCTTTGGCCTTTTCCTATGCAACTCTGTCTTTGCTTTCCTTACTCCATCTCCTTTTTTGTGGCTTCTCTTTTATCGTATCTTTGTTTTTGCTCCCCCTTCCCTATGCCTCTCGCATAAAAGGCTCGCCATGCTTGATGAAGTTGAGTGCGAGCTGCACCCATCCCCGTGTGCATTAATGGCAGAAGAAAGGACAAGTGACGTCTCAAGAGACAACAGAGTAAAGGAAGACACTGAAAGCAAGGAGTGCGGAATGAAGACGAAAGCATAGGAAAGGATAAGTGACGGCTCAGGAGTCACTTTTCTTTATGGCAGAGAGGACATGCACTGTACGGATGAGGCGGACGATAACAGTGAAGAGCTAGCTGAGCATTGTCGGCACGGTGCCACAAAGGCTGGCACTAGGCATGCCCACCAAACACTCATGAGAAGCGGCACGCCCGTTGCAGGCATCAATCACGGCACGGACCGCTGTTGCTCCTGAGAAGCGGCACGCCCGTTGCCCACCAAACTCCAAACGGCCAGCAGTTGGATTCATGGACAGTGGCCATGTCATGGCCAAGTTCGTGGACAACGCACGCAAAGACCGTCATTGCAACTGGCAGCCCCTCATTGCCACATGCAGAGACCCTCATTTCCACATGCAGAGACCCTCATTGCCTGATGGAGGATGAATCCAAACAGCCCCTCGTTGCGACTCGCAACCCGTCCATTGCCTGGTGTAGTCAAACTGTAACTGTAGTTACCATCCTCTGCCTGGTCGTGTAGTTACTGCAGTGACCCATCCTTCCCTGGTGCGGTAACTGTAGTTACCATCCTTTGCCTGGTGGTGTAGTAACTGCAGTGACCCATCCTTCCCTGGCGTGGTAACTGTAGTTACCGTCCTCTCTGCCTGGCGGTGTAGTAACTGCAGTGACCCATCCTTCCCTGGTGTGGTAACTGTAGTTACCATCCTCTGCCTCTAGGGAGCAGAATTGCATGAAGGTGAAGGGCAAATTGCATCAAAGTCTGTCACTGCACAGGGCAATTGCAACAATGGGCAGACAAGGACACTGCCGTGTTCACCCCAATAGAACGCCCAGTCATTATAGCCATATTTGGTTCAATTCCCAGTCAAGATTCAGCTATAATAACCGGGGTGTTCTACTCGGTTTACAGCAGTAGTTGCAGCTAGACCACAGAAATTGGAAAGGATCTCAGGCTGGTGTGCCTCGGACGCTGGACAACGATTTGCAGATCACCCAGATGACGTTGCAAGCCCAAAATGTCCTGGCCTCCTTGATTGCTCCTTCATTCCATCATAATATAGCTGTGGTCGAGGCCTTGTTCGGCAATTTGCATTTCAACCCAATGCCAGTGGTCCTGGTCGGGCAATTTGCATTTCAACCCGTTTGCACATCACCCATATCATCTTACACTTTATGGGGCTCTTCGCAATCCAGACAAATCATGTCTTATTCCCAGGAGGTTTCGTGCTGCATCCTGAGTGGGGACTGCACCCTGAACGGGGACTGTATCCTTGTCGGGCAATTTGTTTGGGTCAATTGGATGCATGCCTTGATGCTTTCGGGAAAAGCGGACAATTTGTTTTGATGTTTTTTCTTTTCGGCATTATTTGTGCAGCAAAAAGGCTAATCTCCTGAAGGATTCTGATTTTGCTCTGAAAGCAACCAAGTTGCAGTCGATACTTCGTTATTTATTTTCCCTCACCACGCCTGTGAGGCAACTTGCCCAGGGGTAAGCCCACGCATCGAGTTGGGCTTTCTCGCCCTACGAAAATTGGACTCTGCATGATGGAAGGGAAGAGAGTAAGGGTTGTGTGCGTGTGCATCATGCACACCCATATTATGCACCCCCTTCCCGCCCCCGCCCCCCCCCCGGCACCCTCACTTCTTCCCTCCCGTCGTGCAGAAATACTACATGCATACGAATGAGCATGATGCACTGAGAGACGAGACAAAACAGATGCAGTCGTGCTGAAAAGCAACCGGTGTGTACCTATCAAGTACAGCCACAGCCACTGGACGAATGTCTGACCCCCTAATAGTCTAATATAGGGTCACGCCACCATCGAAGCCAGGCAGCCACTGGGCGAACGTCTGCCAGTACACTATAAACAAGGAGTGGAAAAAAAGGAAGAAAAAAAATGCAGCAAAACTTTTGCAAAAACAGCGAGAGAGCACTTTCATTGTGATCACAAGAACGAACAAGCAGCACAGGCAAATGGACACCCCTACTGTCTTCACTCGAATAGACCGCCTGGTCATTTTTATAGCTGCATTTGGCAAAACTTTCGGTCCAGCTCCAGCGATAATGACCAGGCGTTCTATTCGGGTGAAGACAGTATTAGTGCAAAAGGCACTCCCATCATGCACTGCCAGAATGCAGCATATCTGCGGCTGCCTCACTGGATGCACTAAACAGAGGGAGCAAAAGAAGGAAACCTAGCAAAACCCGTGAAACCATTACCTGGAACCAACTGTGATACGTGTGTGAGACAGAACCGACTGATATGTGTGTGAGGCAGGAGAGCGAGAGGCCGTCGTTTTCTGTACCCTTTTTCATTGTCAGTGTTTTTTTCTACAACTCCCTTCTGTTCCGTTTTCATCTCCACCAAGCAAGCACCTGCCATAGTTTTCTCTCACTTCACTACAAGAACAAGTGTTCATCAGACCTCCAATAATCATCCCACGGGCCACGGCATAGCACGCCCGCACTCTCTTCCTTTGCAGCCCGTGGCGTGGTTACCGAGACATCGACAGCTGGACACAAAGAACTCAGCCAAGTGGACTGCAGGGGCTGCAGGGAGGCAAGAGCATCACCAGTACATTTCCGTGAAGAGTGCAATCCAGAGGCTGAAGGGAGGCAGCTGCCTAAGAGCGCCACCGGTACATTTCAATCAAGGAATGAATGCACCCGGAACAAAAACCAAATGGCGAACGGACGCGGCAAAAGTTGGATAAGTACCCTACGCAGCAAAAGTTGGATTAGAACCCTACGTCAAACGTAGGTCAAGTAGGAGTGAGGGGTGGTACATCCTTCCCTAGGGAAGCAATCGATGCCGCCCACTCGGGGGTCCCAGCCATAACAGGGAGGAACGTGAGAGAGCGAGTTTCATTGGTAATCTCCTCTGCCTTGCCGGTGGAACAGGAACCCGACTTTTTTTTTTTTTTTTTTTTTTTTTTGGGACAAAAGCTCCAATCTATTTGTGGGGAGCATCACGTGCTGAGAACCGGGCTCATCGTCCCTTTGAAGTACAATTGAGAATATGTAACACATTTGAAATTCCGGGGCCATTGCCTTCGGCTTCCGCTAGGAAAACAATCAGTCAATTACCTATGAGAAACAACTGCAGTTCTCAGAAAACTGCCTATGATCTACCCAACCACAATCCAAACCTGGAAACAGAAGAACCTAACTAAAACCTCCTGTTTACACCTCCCTTTCAACAAGCGAAAAAAGTTCAAAAAATGTTAAGTCCAAGGGTTTAGCCCTCGTACCAGAACTCAGCTGGTGCTTCCCAGAATTGAAAGGAGACAGAAATGCAAGGGTCTGTTTTTCGCAAAAAAAAAAAAAAAAAAAAAAAGAACAATAAACAAATGTCTTGCAAAGAAGGAAGTTAACCAAGAAGCTCGGAAAGCTTTCAGCTGCAAACAATCAATTCCCCAAGCCCATACGCGTACTCACAAACCCGTTATTACACAGCGTCTGGAAATATGACCAAACTTGAATTTAAATGCGGGTTGTCTCCAAATATCGAGAGTATGCACAGAGATACTGAAGATGCTGATAAACGAAGGTGGAAAAATACATGGCGTTGCCACCCTCCTCGCACAACGAAAACAAATCTGTCCAGCCAAAGCCAAAACATTGATTCTGGAAGATGAAAAAATAAAAAATAAAAAATATGGAAGATGAGCAGCCGGGCAGCCGGGCACGTTGTCTATACACCTAGGCTACCAGCCGTGCAGCCCGGGTCACCTTATCTTCCCGTGCGGCCCAGCCGTGCAAGGACCAGGGAAGGTCCCAGCCCAAAAACACACAAAAAAAAAAATCCAAAAAATCCGAAAAAAACTATGTTATGCAGAAAAATAAACTCAACAACTTTTGCCTCAGGGTCACATCGAAATTCTTTACCAAATTTAACATATATATATTTGGCCCCGGGCCACTCTGGTAGCCTAGCCATACAAAGCCGTACTATTTATTCCATACGCAACACCCCTCTCACCAATGAAGGCGTTTTGCATCCACTGCTCCCGTGAGAACAAGGGCAACCAGGAGATTCATGGCGAAGTCAACAAGCACACCTACACAAGCAGCTTCACAGAAATTTAACAACAACAATACAAATGCAAACACACACACACACACACAGATGGCGAGAGAGCGAGAGATAGATAGATAATAGATAGACAGATANCCAGGTCCCACTTCCCCGGATCCTCCATTCCCGACCGTAGATCACGAAAATCAACGGCCAGAAATGAAGAATCCGGTCAAGTGGGACTTGGCCCCGGGGACCTCACAATTCAACCCGGAGTTATCCTCACAGCATAACTACGGGAAAAAAAAAAAAAAAAAAAAAAAAAAAAAAAAAAAAAAAAAAAGAAAGAAAAAGAGAGAAAAAAAAAAGAGAGAGAGAGAGAGAGAGAGAGAGAGAGAGAGAGAGAGAGAGAGAGAGAGAGAGAGAGAGAGGTTTTCACGGATGGGAAAGAGTAAATAGTTATTGCCTTGAATGCACAGTGAGATGGCAACATCACAGAGATCCATTGCATGAAAAGAGGCCCATCGACGCATGCAAGCTATCGCAAACTTAGCTTGGCATGGTTGACGTCAACGTGTATGCAGCAGGGCAGAAGAGGGGACGAGTGTATGTAATTCTCCATCGCGAATGGGATTGCAATAATCGCGACGTCAACATTCCAAATCATAGCCATCCGTCACTCTCATAACGGGTACGATATGTCCACGTGCCACGTTGCCGCTACTCCCACACCTTGTCCAAAAAAAAAGGCCTAATCCAGACACCTTGAGGACAAGTCTCAAGGTTCAGAGTCGCAGGCAAGTAGAGAATCCCTCGCACTCAATCTACATGCTAAAGTATACAGCCCACGTGCTGAAGTATACAGCCCACGTGCTGAAGAATACAGCCCATGTGCTGAAGAGATCAGGGACACTTTTCTTAGCTGCTGCCACGTGCTGAAGTATACAGCCCACAAAGACACACAAGGTAAAGCCGAAAAGAGCTCAAGAAAACTGAAAACCGCGGTTCAACCTATTTCCACAAGACTCCAACTTCACACTAAGCAAGGTCTGGAGGTCTCAGGAGTCGAGGTCTATTCCCCACATGGCTAATCCATCAGCGGAAGCACCTTAAAAATACATTTCTGAGCGCTGGACTAGCAAATCACTTACATACAATTTCGCATGCAAAATTCAAATTTGCTTTTGCGGGAAGAGATGGTACACATAATACACAAACTACCGAAAAAGGCTAAGGCCATTCAATATCACCAGACAGGCAGTTTGGACCTTCTGAGTCAAGAGAGGAGCAAGCCATTTTTCTCCTAGAGATACCTACAGATCTATAAGCACACACGGCTTTTCCGCAAAATTGCAAGATATACACATCCAGCAATTTCTCCTAGAGATACCAACACAAGCCAGCAATCTTAGCAGTCGCATTTCAGACACCCGGACAGAGAAAAACCGCAAGCATCAAGTGCCTGGGATAACCAAACGGGAAATGATATACACAGAGTCGTTGGCACAACACGGCTCTCAGCTGGGCACTAACTACAGGCCCGTCTGCAGATCATCTTCAGTTTCGCCTCCCCATCTGGTCGTTTCCATCTATCAAGCGATCCTAAATCAACAGTCTTGTTAGGTTCATCAGCACAGAAAAGCCAGCCAGTGTTGTCGGTCCTCTTCTTGATCTGCACAAAATGAAAACAATCCAAAAACGAGCGAGTCAAATAATTGACCGGAAATCCAGGTGCTCGACTTTCCCAAGCGAACAACACACTACTACCCTGCAGATCACTGCAAGATATCAAGACTCCGTCTTGCATGCATCACGTCCATAGCATAGCCTTTGCTTTGCGAGTGTTCTCACTGACCAAGAGCCTAAACATAGACTGGCATGATGACAGAACTACAGACCCACACACA